TTATGGGGGCCGCTCAGTTCGGGATGTCTGTGTTGCCTGTAGGTGATGACGGATGTTCGTCGGAGTGTCTCCCAGGCTCAGTGGGTGGTGGGAACCAACAGTCTGTGGGGTTCACCCGTGATGTGAGTAGGTGATGTGCTGCTTTGCTCCGTGGTGGATGTGTGGACGCCCTCGTCTGCGCTCCGCCACTGCCTTGCTGCCCGTACCGCTTGCCTCGCAGGTCGTTCTTGGCAAGCTGCTGTCTTCGTTGTGTGGTGTGGCTGGGTTGTGGTGTTGCCTTGCACTTCGCTGCTCCGCTGCCTCGCTGCCCTTCCGCTGGTCGTGCCTTCCGTGTCCTTTACCTGCGCGCCGTGTAGTTCGGTTGCCATGTTGGTGTTGCCTTGTGCATCACAGCATGGTTGCTCTGCTGCGTGTACGCTCGCCCTGTCGTCCCTTGCAGTGTGGTTGTCTTAGTGGTGTTGCCTGGTGCTTCCCTGCTTGGTTGTCTTGATGCAAGTCCTGCGTGTCGTGTCTTTCCTTGCAGTCGTCTTTGGTGTTGTGCGGTTGAGTTGCTTCGGGTGTGTTGCCTGGTGCTTCACACAGGTGCCGCTCGCTGCTGTGTGGGCAATCTGCCTTCAACAAGGGTCAAAGGGTTCATGACCCAAAACATCCAAAACCGGTACTCCGCAGATTGTTGAGGGTTCAGCCTCCTGACGAGTCGGTGCAACTCCGACGAAACAATCTTTCATCACCAGTTTTTTTATTTTTTATTTTTTTCGGTCCTTCGACTATCTTAGGACTTGTGTTTTTTTTTGGGTTTGTCTGTTGGGTGTGCTTGTATGGCGTTTGTCCTTCTTCTCCCCTCGTGCCCTCCAGCATTCGTCCTTGCTTGTCCTCTGTGTTTATGTATTGTCTGCCCTCCCACCTCCCCCGTGCCCTCCATCATTCGTCCTTGCTTGTCCTCTGTGTTTATGTATTGTCTGCCCTCCCACCTCCCCCTTGCCATTCAGCCTATATGTTCATTCACACTATATGGCAACCGCTCCATTTGCACAACTACGACGTACTCTAAAGCGCCTCGGCTGCACCGCATAACTCGTTCCATTGTTGGTAGACTTCACCTTCCCTGCGAGGATTCCGCAGTGTGTCGGCCAAGCTAGTGTCGGAGCTCAACCATCCACAGTCATAGCGTGGTATGGCGTGCGTAACGTGCACACACTCCAAACACACACACACACACACACAAACACACACACACATACACACACACACACACACACACACACACACACACACACACACACACACACACAAGCAAACAAAGAAACAAACACACACCATTTGTGATTGCCGTG